TCTCTCTCTCTCTCTCTCTCTCTCTCTCTCTCTCTCTCTCTCTCTCTCTCTCTCTCTCTCTCTCTCTCTCTCTCTCTCTCTTTCTCTCTCTCCGACCTCCACCCACCCACCCATCCGAACACCAACCTCCTTGCCTGGTCGCCCGGCTGCAGCAATCTGCTCTGCAGCTGTATTCTGCTTCACAACCTTCTTGCCTGCTGTTTGCCGCATTCCTCGTAGAAACTGCAGCATGCAGCCAATAATTTGGGATACGAAACCGGTTTGACTTTGTTGAGTGCTTCCCTGTCTGTAATCGGAGTCCTCTGGCAGCCTGTGGCAGGTGGCGAGTGTGGCGTTGTTACTGTGTATGCAAGAGTGACAATGCTGATTTGGTCCTTCGGGACATCCGTTAAAATTGGAACGATACAGATGAGGGTAGATTAGCATGGCCCCTGGGGTCTGGTCCTACCTACGGCCGTTTGAGTTGAGAAACCTCAACGGTGTGACACCATTTACCACATTTTTTAAATCCGAAAAATGCATTTCAGATTTATTCGTAGCAGTTTTTATTCATTTTAAGAAAATGATGCGAAAATAGTGGTTTCTGTCGAGGATTCTGCGTATCTTGAAGTACCATATGGGCCACGCTGCACTACTCTCGAAATGTGCAAAACGAGAGTGAATCTTCCCCTAGAATATGGAAAGATGCACTGCCATGATTTTTGTCTTTTGTGCATGTCGAGAGTAGTTCAGCGAGGCCCCATGATGTGGAAACATGAGGTCGTCGAAGTGGGTCCAAAGAGCAATGAATATAGGCAAGAACACGGAAACATACATCGACTTTCTTTTTTCTTTTGTTTGTGCATGTGGTGAGCAACGGAGTGAGGCCTTATAGAGCCCACGCACGACAGTTACGGCTTTCAGTGCACTGACGAAGTGCCTGACACAGTATACGAGAAACGGGGAACGGGCAGACGGCGACTAAAAATCCCAAAAATCGCAAAAATTATCATCGACCGTGTTGAGAAACCTACCCTCGACCGTGGAGGGTAGCTTTCTCAACTCCGTGGCGCTTGCCCATGCCGCCTTCCCTCCATTGCGGGAGTCCATTCGAAGTCCTTATACAAAAAAAAAAAATCATTCAAATCACCCGGTAGGACATCAACATTTCGAAATACTTCCAACCGTGGGATCGCAGCCCTGTCGACGGCCGAACGTTGTCGCTCGTCGTAGAAAACTCCGCGTTGAGTTTTCTCAACAACACATTTGGGACCAGACCCCTGCGCTTTCAAGGATGACACGCATAAATCGAGAAATGGTCCATAATTAAAAAAAAAAAAAAAAAAAAAAAACAATGCTGATTTGATGTGAGAGCAACAAAGACCAGCCACAGCATGTCATTTTGCTGGGATGTGGAGAAATGTATCACATCCTTTCCAGAGTCCTGACCAAGTAGTTCCACATGTTCTTACTCATCTGTGTTTTTGCAGGATTGGAGGAAGCATACGTGCCCCCTTTCTCCCGATTATTTGAGTGCTTGCCAACAACCGGAACCGTCAATGAATTGTTTCTTCAGTAATTGTTCAGACAGAAGACTGACGGTCCCCACGTATCTGAAGCTGGTTGAGTCTACCTGGATGCTGGTGAAAATCAACAGCACGACGCACATGCTTGTGGAGCTCATGCAATGCCAATTTGCGGTCAAAATATTCACAGACGTCAACAATAATTTCTGCCACAAGCTTCAAGTTCAAGCAAAGCTCCAGTGGATTGGATTGATAGTGCTATCGTCGTCGTCTATGCTTCTAGTTTTCCTCTGGCAATTGTATGTCCACCGCTGGAATAAGCGCATGAGGACGACAAGCAAGCCCATATACGACTCCCATGCACAAAGCTATGGATGACCGATGAACGTGGGAGTGCGATAGCGACAAGCTGCGCGGTGTGATTGCAGGGCTCTCGCTTGAGCCGTTAGCGGTGGGACTTTGGTGCCACACAGCCTGGTTGTCACTGTGGCTGTATTCCTTCTTTTCCCCTTTTGGGAATGCTTCAGGAAACCAGGGTTTCCTAAATAAGGATACACCAGGTTGTGCAGCTTTCTGCAGAAATTTGCTTCTTCTGTGGAGTTTGCCGTCCCTGTGCGGCGGTGTGATGGGCGTGGGAAGCACGGTCAGATTGCCAAACGGTGGTCTTTTTTCCGTGGGAAATATTGCTGCCTGATACTAGTACTGGGGTCTGATGGACCTGTGAAGCAGGCAGGTGCCTGATAGAGTGGCAGTCCTTGCGTCAAGTGTACCCACTTTTAGAATTTCTGCATTTTTGCCACAGGTACGCAGTCGAAGGCTTTTCCTCATGAATGGAACGGACCAACCCCGCCGAAAACCACAGGCGTACTAGGGTTTTTCTAATGACCCATCTTCTGTCTGCATTTGGAGTCTCAGCTACGTTGTGAGAATCCCAATGAGTATGCCCCAGGACGTCTGGTGATCCTTGGGGAGATTTGCTTGTGCTATTTTCTGCAATTTGAGCATAGCAGCTATCCCTAGCTTCTTTTCTTTCGTTTGACCTCTGCTTTGGAGTGAGGTTTCAGCTGATCCATGTAGGACTTATGCTGATCCTTGGCGAGATTTGCTTGTGCTTTTTTCTGCAATTTGAGCATAGCAGCCATCCCTAGCTTCTTTTCTTTCGTTGAGGTTTCGGCTGATTGCACTTGGTGCGAGTAGTTGCAGATTTCTGTGTAAATACAGTCCGGCGTCTTCTGAGGTCGCCATCTTCTCAGCTTCCTCTACTTGGGATTGAGCCGGGCATGAGGCATCAGGCGGCGCATGAGGCATCAGTCTGGGGCTTGTTACCTGACAGGCACTTGCACGCACGTAGCCAACCTTCAGTGAAAGGCATGGAAAAGCTCCCTGGAAAAGAAAGAGTACATTTTTATATCCATGTGAAAGAGCTAAGGGTTACTTCCCTCAGGGAGCAGACTCAGCTGGGAGGGTTATGAGGCATCAGTCTGGGGCTTGTTACCTGACAGGCACTTGAAAGTAGCCAGCCTTCAGTCACAGGCATGGAAAAGAAAGAGCCAAGTGTTTTGTGTCACAACCCAACTTCACAGGAATAGAGTATCGAAGATCATGTGTCCGGGGGTTCACGGGTGGATGGAGAGGAGAATCATCACCGTTCATTTTCGTTAGCCGTCAGATTGCCATATCGAAGATTGTGTTTCCGGGGGTCCTAATGTGGGTGGAGAGGAGAATCATAAGCATTCATTTTCATTCGCTGTCAGAGTCATAACCCCTCGAAGGGAGTATTACCTGTTGTTACCTCAATGTTAAACAGCCTCTGACACAAATACATATGGACCCGCGTGGCGCACTGATTCAGCCGCGGAATTAGTGGCCTGAGAACGTGGAGGTTGGATTAACGGTCTTTAGGTAGGTACAAAAAAGGTGGCGTGGGTCTGCTGCTGTGTGCATGTGGCAGGCATGTAAGGGGGTGTCACAGTTTCACATGAAGGGGAGGGTGTGAAGACAGGGGCCAGCAGGAAGGGGACAGGAGACGAGGGGGCAGAAGCAGGAGGGGTTAAGAGGGGAGGGGGCAGATGTGGGAAGGTAACTGGAGAGAGGAAGAGTGATTTGTCGCTGGGCAATCCACTGCAGTGGCTGGTCAGGCAATCACAGATCTGTTGGAGCAAGAAAGTGACTCCGGGGAGACACTCAGGGGCGAGCACGAAGGGGACAGGAGAGAGGAGGGGGTGGATGCGGGAAGGAGGAAAAGGAGGGAGGAAAAGTGCTCACGCTGCAATGGCTGGTCAGGCAATCACAACTCTGGTGGAGCAAGCCACGGGCAGGGCAGGGAGACTGCGTAGCATCCAGGCAAGCAGTGCAACTGTCGCTACGGCGGGATCTTCGATCTGCAGGCGACTTTGGACATGAATGTCTGTGAAATGAAGACGACTCCCATAAGTATTGTGAGGCTCGTTCCTTGATCGAGTGACAGGACATTATTGAAGGTATCAAACATTTCTAAGCAGATGCAAGAGTGCACGACCTTGCATGACCTTGCCCAGAAAATTGAACAGGGCTAGGAGCAGCATTGGCTGCAGGGGTGGGGAGGTCTATGGTCCGCTGTGTGCCGGATTCGGGTCGAAGTTACTGCCTTTGTTGACTGGGGTTTCCATTCGAAGCTTATGTCACTTCTCCTTCTCACCTTTTCACTTTTCAGCACTGGGCAGGCGTCAAACTCTATACATCGTGGTATCACTTGGCAGAGGCCTGTGTTTTTAATGAACAGTAGGAAAACCCTGTTAAGCATATGCTTTTCTGTTTTTGCAAAGAAAAGCACTCCTCCCGAAGTTACGTGTGGTACTGGAGATTCTGACTTTTTGCGGTGAGGCTCGGCGGATGGAGAAGGGGGGAGGGTGCAGAGGGGCGTGTGTACTGAAATGTTCACACCGTGCCGTTAAACGAGAGAGTGCACCCCTGGGGGGGGGCACACAGCGGGTGTCGATGAGAATGAACATCTTGCCGATCTCGGCGGTGTAAAGCTTAATTCAGGGTGGTACACGTTTTGCAGGATCTGACTTCCCAGTATGCAGCTCTCTAACCCGGGCTACTCGGGATATCGAGGGCTCAAAATGGCCACATGGTCGGATGGTCAATGGGGATTATCGATTGGTGAGGGTTTTCTGTCTTTTTCTGCAAATCTGTCTTGGATACGCTGGATGGGCGTGTGTTCTATTTCTGCCGATTCGCTCGACGTTCTGGTTTGGATGTGTGCGTCTACAGCATGACACAGTCTCAATGCCCGCCTAGGAGTTCTAGCCGTGCGGCTGTGTGTCTCACACACATTGCAGGTGAATCTATCATGGGATGGAATGATTGACGAATGACTCCAGCCATCAGTAATGAAAATGCGATCTTAATGTCAACAGCTGGTGGGGGAAAGCAGCTTGTAGCAGACACTGCTGGAGAGCTCGAATGACATTTCCGTCAACTTTACGTCTGTTACCAGGCCACAACAAAGGAGCGGTAATTGAAAGGAAAGGAGAGTTGGACAGAGAGGAAGAGATTTGAGTGAGTGTGTGTGTGCGTTTACAGAACGTCAAGAGGCGTACAGTTCGCAGCAGCGAGGGAGTTGGGAGGAGTGGAATGTGCTGAGGATGCTTTTAAAGCCCCAATGCCCTAAAATAGAAAATGGCTTTAAATTCTGCTCTAACATCCACGCACGCCTCAGGCATCTTTTCAAGATGGAAAATGAAGTTTAAAAGGGGATATTAAGCAGGGAGGAGAGCCAGCAGGAGTTTGCACAGGCGAGGTGGAAAGCTAGCAGGAGCCTGTACACGCGAGGTGGAAAGCCTGCAGGGGCCTGCACAGGCCAGGTGGAAAATGAAGCGTTTCATGGAGAGGGTAACTGTCTTTTAGTATGAAATATGAAAGTTTCTCAGGGGCGAGTAGAGGAATCTCGGAATCTCGTGGAGGTTATAATGCCGCTATATATATGTCAGCGGTGGAGAAATGACGTTTGAGGAGGCAGCCGAGCTGCCTGAAGGCCCGATATCATTCCTGCCAAGGTGCATATCCCTCGAGAATGATAATGAGAAGGTCGACAGAGCCGCCGTATTAGGGGAACTGAAGGGCGGCAGTCACGAATCGATGGCAGAGAGCGCGGCCTCTCCACAACTGGATTTCTATAGACATATAGAGATTGTCATATGTGTAATGATGAAAGGGTGAACTTTGTGAGAGAAATGCAAGATAGATAGGGGTTTTCCTTAGCGATGAGTTGGTAAACGAGTCTGTCGATATGAACTCTTGGGAGTCATCAGCCTTTTTTCGTCTTTTTTCTTCATTTTTCTTCTTTTCTGTGGGAGTTATCAGCCTGTTATTCCCGTTGTACCTTATTTTCAAAGTGATGTGGAATTCCCAAGTAATCCTCGGCAAATGCTGTTTATATTTTTTGTGTACCGCTTCTGCACAGCATTTTCCTCCGATATTTTCCTACCATTTTTTCTTTAGGTTTTTGAACTCTTTTTGTTCTGGATTGTGTGGTGGAGATTGTCCGGGAGCCGGAGGATCCCGGGAGCTGGCCCAGCTCGGCCATCCAGTTCGTAAGAGGCGGGCAGCGGGGCAGGCGGGGCCCACACCCTGCCGCGGGTTCATTGAGGAGGGGGGAGGATAGGGAGGTTTCTTAGCTTTTTTTGACTTTTTTTTGTTTCATTTCATTTCTATGGTAGATGTAGTGTGAAATTCCAAAGCGATCCTTCCTCGGCCAGAGTTGTTTATAACTTTGTGTTACACGGCTGCAGACTCCGCACAGCATTTTCTTTCGATAGTATCATACAATTTTATTTTATTTTTCAAAGTTTTTTTAACCTTTTGGTGTTCATTGTGTAGTGGGGTTGTTTGGGCGCTGCCGCTGGATCTTGCCCTGTCGGTGCCCTGGCTGGGCCATTTAGTTACTAGTCAAAGGTGGGCAGCGGCAGTCCGGGGACCCATGGAAAAAGCTGAGGTTGGACCCTCAGCTTTTTTCATATGTTCCCACAGACCCTTATATCATGATATGTGACATGATGAGCACATAAGAATTTTCTTACATCGTGTAGAGAATACTTAACCGGAATTTTTCTTAACAGTAGTGCCAACTGTTCCGTCACCTAGAAAATACTTAACCGGAATTTTATGCAGCAGCTTTTCTTTTGAAATCTCAGCTTCTCTGTCACCTACCAATTAGTGTAGAGAATCTAGAGATAGGAAACCAACAGTAGGGAAGCTGCCTGACAGGAATTTTCTGATGAGCGGGGAGCTAGGACTTCTGAAGCATAGGGGTACAAAAGAGGTGAATTCAAATGACGTTAAAAACCCTCCGAACCATAGGGGTATAGAATAGGGGTTGAATCCAGATGACGTTGAAACTTGAAAGTGGGAAGTGGAAAGTGGAAAGTTCTTTCGGGGTGGCATTTGAATGACAAATTATGACATTATATTTGAAAGTAGGATGGTTTTCCGTAAATCCTACGGGGTAGTTGAACCATCGGCACAAAATAGGATGGCAGCCAAGCACAGGCCGTCGCGAGTATATGCATGACATTATACTTGAAATTGGGAAGTCAGTAGTTGAGCACAGGCCATGGCGAGTGTATGTGCGTGCTTGGCACTCTGTTGGCCGCGTAATCGTGGTGCTGCAATATAGGCAGTGCATCAGCTCAGAGACATCCTGCTGAGGTACACATTTCTCGGGCCATGGCGAGTATATGTGTGTGCTTGACACTCTGTTGGCCGCGTAATCGTGGTGCTGCTATATAGGCAGTGCATCAGCTCAGAGACGTCCTGCTAAGAAGATACACATTTCTCGTTCTTTTGTTGACGGGTATTTTGATGAGATATCGTTCTTTTCCCGTGTTTGCGACCACTTGAACAAGTTCCCCTCGCCCTCTTTTTCTAGTTCCAAGCCTTCTGTTTTCTTTGTCCTTAGAGAGCTTGGCATCAGTCATATCTCAGTTATATTTCCTATGGGATCGAGTGAGTCTCGTGGATGCAAGTGAGTCTCATGGATGCATGTTTGGCAGGAGAGAGTGTCGCCTGCAATAGGTGAGTCTCATGTCTGCACTAGAGAGAGAGAGAGAGAGAGAGAGAGAGAGAGAGAGAGAGTTCTTTGCTCCCATGGAGCTGGTATCAAACCCGATCAGATCAAATACTACACTTGCTCGCAGCTACAAGGCTGAGATATGTGTACTGTCTTTCCTACTTGTTTGTCCTGTCTTTTGTTTCCCCCCAACGTTAGGTGTCTTAGCATGAAAAAAAAAATCATTTGCTAAAAGGGGTGAAGGGTCTGGGAGGTGTATGTTGGATTATTTGACAGGCCATTGGCCGCACACAACATTTGGTCGCGCACAACATTTTGTAATGCATTTGTCAAGCTGCAGTGCATGTTCCATTATGATGCAGGAAGCAGTTTACTTGCATTCACTACTCCATGCATCATGTCACACCAGATTGTTGGCTGTATGAATCTAGGCTACCAGAGTGGCCCGGGGTCACTTGCCCGCCCAAGCCAAAAACAATTAAAAAAATAAAAATAAAGAAAAGTATTTTTAAATTTTATATTTTTCGATGTGACCGTGACGCAAAAGTTGTTCAGTTTATTTTTCTTCATAACATCGTTTTTTTCCGGATTTTTTTGATTATTTTTATTTTTTTTGCTGGCTGGCCACCGGGACCCGGACGCCCCGGCTGGTAGCCTAGGTATGAATGCTTTATTTTTTTTTTTTACTTTATTTTTTTCCCTTGAGTGGAATTCAGGCCATGGTGCCAAATTCGTTCGGGCTCCAGGGACCATAGCTCCATTCATTCAAAAACATGAGGCAACTGTCAGGTTGCGGTTACCCTCAGGCGCATTAGCATTCGCGTTAGCATCTATAAATACTCAATATCGAGCTACCATTGGTATTGTTTCAAATGAGAATCATGATAAGTGTAATTTTAGGAAAGCAGGGAAAGTAGGTGGTTAGGAAGACGACCCGTGGTGTTGCTATGAATCCTGTAGACCATCCTCGTGGAGGAGGAGAAGGACGTATAAAAGGACGCCGAAGGTGCACACTAAATAGTAAAATGCCAAATAGAACGAATTCATTCTTCTTTGTCCAGACTATACCAGAAATCTTGGGTTTATGAAAACGCACGAAGTGATTACTTCGAAAAACAAGTGATGAAGTGTTTGTTTTTTAGTGCCTTTCCTTGGATCACTTGGGCACTATTCAATTTGAGTTTTTGACGTAGTGCCCCCATGGCGGAGTGTTGTTTTCTGCTGCCTTTCTTTTGATCACTTGGGCACTATTCAATTTGAGTTTTTGACTTAGTGCGGCCATGGCGGAATATTGTATGATATATTGAATACAAGAGATTATACTGGACTTTATACAAAAGATCCTTGGCTTGCTAGTTGTCTCTCACTTTGCCTGCTTTCATTAGCAGGTATTCTGCCGTTAACAGGCTTTTTTGGCAAAATTTTTCTATTTTCGTCTGCATGGCAAATGTACTTTAAATACAGCCATTCATTTGATAGATTTTTATCATCAATTTTCTCGCCTGGTGGTATTAAAATTTTATCTTTTTGCAATGCAATTTGTTTGTCCTTGATAAAATAGAGCGAGCCAGAAGTATATTATATTGAATTTACTTCTATCTTGTTGATTAATTTAAATGAACCATATCTAGATATCTAGGTATCGAACAGTAACGGCTGTTCCCAAACTCGTTGACAAAAAGATACATAGAGATCATCAGATTTTTTGTAAAGAGAAAATTCTTCCTTAATAGTTTGATATATTGAATACGACGCAGCTTGGTACGATTGTGTACACAACTGTAATAACTACAAAAATCTTGCAGAATCTGATTGAATTTTTGAAGTCTTTGCAATATCCAAGTGCACCCAGGCCAATTTGGCATGTGGTTTACCCGCTTGATCACAAAATTCAGATCTACTCAGGTTTTTCATTATATGCATTTATATCAGAGATAGGTGCTTCCATTGCAATATTGGTTTTTCTAAGACTGATAAGTGTAGACAAGAATGTCACGCCAAATTGACAGATTGTTGGTTGTGTGAATGCTGAGTTCACTTTCCACACGGCAAGGGAAGCACTGGTCCGCCGGCAGTTTTTTTCCTCTTCTTTCTCTTTTGCTGTTCTGATTAAACTTTCAAAGCACGTATTGCCATCTCTCTTTTCCGACGTCTATATTCATTATCACTGGTCATTTTGCACTTGTCAATCTGCGAAGTCCAGATGCATGTTCCGTTATGAGGAAGAACTGAGTTAATCGTATTGTATTCAATACTATCGTGTGACACTTCGTTTGTAATGCCGTCGTAATGGGTTGGTTAAGTAGTTGAGGTGAACGGGGTCTTACCGTCTAGCCGCTGGTACTCCGCATCTTCACGGAGAATTCAATTTCGCTGAGCCCATGTTGGAGACAGCGGGGCAGTCGTTACACCATTCGTGCAGGTCGCTACTTATGCGACACAATTGTGTTAATTGCTGGCAGCTCATTTAGAGCAAAAACAAATATAATGCATAATGTGGGGAAAGTGAGCAAAAGAGAATATAATGCAAAAATGGGGAAAGTGGAGTGTGTGATTGAAATTCACCCCAGTAAGAAAGCCCTGTTTGGTTGAAATTGAACGGACAACTTCAGCAATTTTTATCTTTTTTTCCACGGGCTCAAATGACCCAATTTGTTTTGGCATATATACCTCGTGATAGGGGCAACCCACAGAAAAACAAATTCGAAAAGGAAGTTTTTTTTTTTTTTTGGGGGGGGGGCGGGTTGGATATATTGTCTCCTGAAGATGTCTCCGCAATTGTCCGATCAGATGGCCCAATGTTTTTTGGCATCTACCTCATGATATGGGAAACCCACAGAAAAAGGTTTTTTTTTTTTGGGGGGGGGGGGGTGGATATACTGTTTCCTGAAGATGTCTCCGCAATTGTCCGATCGGATGGCCCAATGTTTTTTGGCATCTACCTCATGATATGGGGAACCCACAGAAAAAGGTTTTTTTTTTTTGGGGGGGGGGGGGTGGATATATTGTCTCCTGAAGATGTCTCCGCAATTGTCTGATCGGATGGCCCAATGTTTTTTGGCATCTACCTCATGATATGGGGAACCCACAGAAAAACAAATTTGAAAAGAATTTTTTTTTTTTTTTTTTTGTGGGGGGGAAAGGGGTTGGATAATTGTCTCCTGGAGATGTCTCCCCAATTGTCTGATCGGACAAGTCGGATATCCAGAGGGGTCCCAGATGTCCGCCCTGGTAACAGAGCTTTCTTCCTTTTTTTGCACTGGAGCCCTGACCCTGGCGCCGGGTACCCGGGCGCGCGTCCGAGACATGTTAGGCGAACGGCCTAGCTTTTAACTCTCAGGTGCATTATATTTATACTGGTGAAAAGCTGTGCTGCCCTCCCCATTTTCAACTACCTACTCTCTCTGCTGCTCCCACGCTCCGTTGCCCCCTTTCCCAACCACCTCCTTCACTCCACCACTTCCTCCTCCCTAGTCTCTCCCACTCCTCTCCGGCCTCCTCTTCCCACCCCTCCCAACTCCACAACAGACTCCACCACGTTGCGCTCCTCTGAGTCGTGCTGTCGCTGCCATATCCTCCCTCCTAGCCCCGCTGTTGTAGCCTCCTCCTCACCCTGCTCCTCTGACATCTATGAAGCTTTTCAAGGAAGAAAGAAAACAGGCGGATCGGGGGCTTCTCTCTAGTCAAAATTCCACGTGTAAATTGCGTACACACACACACACACACACACACACGCACACACACACAACAGAGACACACGCGTGCACACACACACACACACACACACACACACNCACACACACAACAGAGACACACGCGTGCACACACACACACACACACACACACACACACACACACACACACACACACACACACATGGCCAAAATTGGAAACAATTCGACCCCTGGTGTGGCAACGCAGGTACTACATGGGTTGGGCTGTTGCATGTAGCAAGGGTGATACCATGTTAGGGTCCATGGAAGCATGTGGACTGGAAGGTACTTGCCACCGCAATGGTACTATGGTACAACAAATACAGCCAAAAAAAAAAAAAAAAAAGGTCACGAGTAGTGTACAAGTATAGAGTACAAATCCATACTCATACAGGGGTGCATGCAGGTTATTAAAATTCTTGGACAACAAATACAGCAAAAAAAAAAAAAGAGAGAGTCATACGGGACCTGTTGTGTACGAGTAGCGTACAAGTATAGGAGTACAAATCCGTACTCGTACAGGGGTGCGTGCAGGTCGCAGCGCAGATTAAAACAGAGGAGTACATAATTGCCAAGAAAGGGAAAAAAAAGAAATCATGCAGCCATCACAAATGCCATGAAGGCAATCAAAAAGGACACACATGGTCACCACCAGTCAGAATTCTGCACTCGACACGGTGAGGCAGTACCGTGTTGGCTGAGCGGTGTTATGTGGCATGGGCATCCCATGCGGGTTATAGATCATGCCATGGGCACCGGACGCCACTATGTGATTTGGGCAGCGCTACAGTCGTGCTATCTATGCAGAGTGGCATTTTATAGCATTTTATAGCAAGGTGGTTCCCCAGTGGATGTTCAAATAGCAGGTGCATAGCAAAAGACAATTTGGATGTAAAGTAGACATGTGCCTTTCAGCAACCTTGTTACGCGCTGCAGTCCGGGTCGGAGTTTATCGCAAGGAAAAAAAGGGTTCTCAACTTCTCATACCTGCTTGTACATTTCTTTGTTTGAAATTTGAATTGATCTCGCCGCTCGGATCCGCCTATCAACACCAGTCGATGGGTCTACAACTCTGCACAACTTGGATATTAAACCAAACAATTTTTGCTGTAGCGTGACACCGACATTCTAATGCAAATTGAAAATAAGTTTAAAATTTTTATATAACAAAACATAATGCCTTTTTTTCTCGGGCCAGGCAGGGCAAGGACTGAGGTAACTACCTAACTACCTTCTGCTTAGTTTGAACCACCAGTCCTTGGCCCAGCTATCGATGCCGAGCCTCAGAGCACCCTCCCTGCGTGCCAAGTCTGAACGAACTGCCAGCACGACTTTCTGCTTTCATTTTGGCTAAGCCCCTCCAGTTTTTGTTGTCATCCTCTAGCCCCAAGCCCTAAAGGCAGACGCGTTAACAAGGAAGCCTTGCAACCGGTGTATGGGCTGAGTATGATTTATGAGTTCTTTCTAAACTTCAGTTCGATGAACGAAACGATGATCGATAATTGGTGGTTGAAATGGGAACTACCTTCTTTTTTTTTTTTTTTTTTACTACGAAAGAAATCCAGAAGAATTTTTAAGAAAACCATGGATAACTGCTGCCCTACCGACCTAATGCTAGGTTACTCCAGCCGCAGTTACTAAGTCTTTTTGTTTTTTGAAAATATCTGGAAAGGCATGGGATACCTTCCGCTTAGTTTAAATAGCAACTTGCGCCACTACCTTCCACTTGGTTTAAAACTTTAAATATTAAACCACTGCAGTACTTCCTAGAGTCGTGCCCGCTAGCGCGCCACGGTTTCAGCAAACGTACTGGCTACTACAGGAGCGCCCAATTCATCTGACTAGAAACGTTTCTACCGTATTTTTTTCCGCCGCGGCCGATAGCTGGGCGAAGGACTGGTGGTTAAAAACCAAGGTTCAAGAACAAGATTGTAAAAAGAAAAGCGAGGGGATTCATATTTGCCACATCCCGTACACGCGGCCAAAAATAGAAAAATGAATCCCTTTTTGCACTGAGAGCAGATGAGCCTGTCCAATCATCCAGGCCATCTAGAGATGCGTACCATCTGGCCAGATAAAGCCATTGGAAGAACCTGTGCATATCCACCCTCCCTGCCCATTGAAGGGCAGAAAATCAGGGCAATCCCGCAGCTATCTGGGGCAATCAATGCTGGCAGGGAGGTCTTTTCTCCTCGATATTTCCGATGTATCAAAGGAAACTCACGCTGCGTGCACAGGGAAACTAGTACTGTGTGCGCGATGGCTTCGTCGACTCCTCCTTCCAAAGTCGACGCAGCTCATGTTGCTGCTGCTCGGTCTCGCCTGCACCTCGGCGATGGCAGGTGACGCTCCCCACCAATAGACTGGAGCAAACAGAAAGGCTGCTGCTATGCAAGGCTGCTCTTATCACCCCTCCTAACAGCCACACTGGGTTATTTAAAAAAAAAAAAAAAAAAAAAAAAAAAAAAAAAAAAAGAAAAGGACCTTAAAAAAAAAAAAAAAAAAAAAAAAAAAAAAAAAAAAAAAAAAAAAAAAAAAAAGACGTTGCCCACCAACAATCAGGACGTGAAGAATAGCAGCCACAACTTCATCAACCATGTGATTCCACACTTCTACCACAGAAAAGCAAAAGACATGCACCAAATGAAATGCAAGCAGCTCAGAAAACGAAGACCGAATACAGCGAGGTGCCACACACGACTCTGCTTCAACTGCACGACACAAATACTAAATTCCTCGGCCTATAGACACTTTGCTGCCCATATCCGACACTTGTGTCCGACAAGTGTCGGAGTTCAGCAAATACTAACAAAGGACTAAAGTTACTAACACTTTGCTGTCCATCTCCGACAAATGTCGGACTTCAATCATGGCCATCGATAGCTGCTTCTCTCTTACCGCTTTCCTATTGCCACAAAAAGGTGCACACACTGCCATCTATCGCAAAGGAGTGGTGTATAGCCCTATACCCTGCCATCTACCCCCCCCCTCCCCCGCCTTTCCATATCGGTGCAAACCTTGGACATGTATACTAGCCTGAGCGAACAAAGTACAACAGCTGACATCAACATCAACAAACATAGCAAGTACAAGCAACAACAGTAATCCAGTTGCGCCTTCCGCCCGCCAAGCAATTCTGCCCATGGGTCCCCTCTATTCCTAATAAAAGTACTGCAGGGCTATGCCCTACCATCTACCCTATCCCCCCCCCTGCCTTTTCCCCAAATGTTTTCCCCACCTTGGATTTGTATACTACCCTACCCCCCCCCCCTTTTCCCCAAATGTTTTCTCATTTGTGCGCCTCTCGCTCCTCACTGCTCCGGATGCAATAGCTCCAATCGTTCCAAGCAATGTCTGCAAGACGTCGGGAGGACAGATAGAGTGAATTCAGTTTCTAATTCTTTCTATGACACACATAAACACTCTCTCCATGTGCACGTCAATTGACTGCAGGTACTGCAATTGCTGCTCCCCACCAATCCGAGGTGGGCAATTTTTTTTTTTCTCCTTACCCTCGACCCAACCCGGCCAATTTTTTTTTTTCCCCATCCACCTGGCTCCAGGATTTTATTTTTTAACTTTTGCACAACCCCACCCACCCAAAATATTTTTTTTGAAATTTCTGCCCCACGCCCGATCCGCCCGTGACCCCAAAAATGCCCTCACCCACACCCGTCCGCACCCGTAAGAGTATCATCACTCGCCCGCGTCCAATACCTAAATTTTCTTCACCCGCACCCACCCGCATCAGCCCGCGCCTGCCCATACCAGTCCCTTACACCATCACGATTTCATACGATTTCATCGGCAACATAGCATTGCAACAAAGACATCTAAAATCCTATTATTAAAACAACCCCAACATCAACAATGCGACTCCAACTTCTCAACAGTGGGACGCTGGACCCGGTTTCCAGCAGGTGATGCTCCGCACCAATAGATTGGAGCCGTCTATAAACTGGGGCTTGATATTGGAGGATGCTCGTATCACCCCCAACAGCAGGTTGCCACAGATGTTTCGGTTTTAAAAAAAAAGAAAAAAAAAAAAAGAAAAAAAAAAAAAGAAAAAAAAAAAAAGAAAAAAGATTTTGTTTTTTTGCCCAGGGGCAGCTGCCCTGCTTTCG